CACACACAGAGAGAGAGAGAGAGAGAGGAGTCAAATCAATAATTAACCAAAAGAGCCTGGAAAAGGCCTTCTCCTTCCTTTTCTATTTCGTTATGCAGATTATAATTCTTCCTGAAATTACAAAATCCTAGTAGAAAAAAAAGTCCCAACAGAAAACCAAACAAAATAAGTTCCATATTTTTTTTTTTTCAATTTCCTTATTGAGGAAGCCTCCAAAAGAGTCTCGGAACATAAACGAAAAGCACATTCGATTCGCTAATTCGAGTTTTTAATTCGAATTAAGATGTAATGTTATGTGAGAACTTTTTACTGTAATAAAAAAGTTAAATGTGATTATTTCTGAGAGTTTTTTACTGTAGCAAAACTCGAATTTTAAAATCGAATCAGCAAAAAAACGGGCCTACAGTAATCGAAATTGCGAAAAAAGCACCGCATTCATATCCTACTTTTCTTTCTGTTTCAACGAATACAATTCATCTCGAACGAAAATCCAAAACGGCTTACACAACTCCATTTCTATATATTTGTCAACGAGCTCAAACAAATCCATTTCTAAAGCAAGATTCAAGCGTAAATCAGATCACTATTACCCAAAAAAAACGATCAAGAACAACGAAAGTGAAGGATCAAAGCTGAAAGCAAGCTCATATCACAGAAAAATCGAAATGAAATTGCAGAAGAAGAGGCATTGAAACAGACCAAATCGACAAGCGCAGCAGCTTTCTGGTAAGGAGAGCCGTAAGCTATGGCGTCCGATCGTCGTCTGAAGCTTGCCGACCTCCCAACGCTCCTGGCATGGCCACTGCTTTCTCCGCTTAGCAGAGGCTTCTCCATCTTCTTCTTCTTCTTCTTCTTTTCACACTCTGTAATAACGAGACTTTTTTTTGACGGAAAAAACGCAGTGATAAGGTGACTAATGGAACGTCCAAAAAACGAAGGAGAAACGTCTACAGTACTTATTTATTTATTTATTTTGGTGAATTCGTTAGAGAGGTTGGTACAAAGTGAACGAGGCAATTAATGCGAGGCTTTGCTTTTTTCTTTTTCTTTTTCTTTTTTTCCTTCCTTTCTTTCTTTGGACATGTCTCTACTGTTTTTTTGTCCATTATTCATTGGTTACCATTAGAATTTCTTTTATTTGGGTTAATTTAGTTGAAGTTACTATAAAGGACGTTATTGTTTATGAGAATGAGACCGAAAACGTTAATTTTGTCTTTTTTAAATATTAATTAATGATATTTTATGTCGTGTGGTCGTTTTATTTTCAGTGGTAAACGTTACTGATTATTATTGTAATTATTTTTGTACATCCAGTCATTTTATTACATATTATATATATTGTGCGAGTTTTGAATAGTTATGGTTACTTAATAAATATAAAATTTAATAGTTTATTATGATAAAAATTTAATCTTATTAATTATGATTTGATCAACTATTTAATTTATTAAAATCGTTAGATTAATATGTTAAAATTAAAAAACTGATAGATATATATATTAAAGTAATTTATAATCTTTGAAACCACGCCATTAAATTATATCATCGTATTATATTACTTATTAGGGAATATTAGATATTTTTAAAGTAAGTCGGATATGATCAGTTTTTAATTATTAGATTGGATAAAAATCACATTAAAAATATGTATAAAAAATAATTTTTAATATAAATCTAAGGGTAAAAAATAAATAACTAATAACACATTATTTTTTTTAATCCTGTGCGAGAAATTCTAAGAATATTATTAAATGTTCAGGATATAAGGAGTGAGTGTGACGTGCAAGAGTTTTGGATCCCGACCTGTGCTTTATGTGGGATCATCATGTATATCTAGTTTGGTAATTTACGTGAATGCGACTGAAACTGATGGTATTCAATTGAAAGGGAATAAAAAGGAAATGCGACCAAGAGGATAGAAATGAAGGACGGGTTCCGTGTCGGCACGTGCAAGGTTATTGAAGGTGTGTCCTCACTTACCTTACAATGTATCTCCCTTTTATTCTTGCGCCAAAAAAAAAAAAAAAAAACAATATAAATATATATATTAGGAGATTCTTTAGTACGGCTAATGTATCCCTAAACAAATTTTTGCTAACAGTTAGATTTACATATTTTTTAATTTTTACGTGATTTTATATAGATTATACAGATGTAAAACCAGACTTACTGATATATTGACGTATCGGAGAATGTCTCATATATATTATGATAGGAAAGGTTTTTTTTTAGACCAGCAAAGGAAAATGTTAGACGATATACGACATAAATAGAGAGCCATACAAAACATAGAAAAGTGACAATTATGGCTGACAATTTAGATAGCAACACGACAACACGACTCGAAACCCGCACGAAATTAGTGGGTTTGGGTTTACTATAATGGGTTTGAGTCATAATCGGATTGACACGGTTAACACAATTAATAAATAGATTAGGTTAGGGTTGACCTCTTAATACGAAGTGACATGAATTGACACAATTAATTATATGTGGCATCTGCAATATAATGATATGTGATATAACATGAAAGTTTATATGACATTAAATATAAATAATGTAAATTTTAGTATTTATAGGTAAAATTTATTTATTTTTTAAAAAGAACAGATAAATTAACCAATAAATATGTTAAATATGTATTAATCGTGTTAAATAAATCGTTATTATATTAATTATTTTATAATATATTAATTTAAACTGATTATATGAATTGACACGATAAATACAATTAATAAATAAATTATATTTTAATTAATATTTTTAACATATTTAATAAATAAATTATATTTAAATTAATATTTTTTAATATAATAAATAAATAAATTAACATCAACACAATTCACTAACACAGATTGTCATCTCAGTGGCAATCAGGGAGAGTTTCCCTTAAAGAAACAAAACTACCAAAGTAAAAGAGACTGCTAGATCACTCCACTACAGCAACACCACCTCGCCGTGGGCCATGACTAAGAAGGTGAACGTGGCCACGTGGACTCGGCCACAACTTCAAGCCCACCGCGTCCAAAGACCATAAATAAAAAATTGAAGGCAACGAGTCAATAATTTAAGAGATGCTTAGTTTATAAATTAAAATTATGTAATTAAAATTATTTTTAATTTACGTATATTTTTTATAAGAAAAAATATTATAATAAATTATAAATCATTATTTGAATCACGGTATGAATCCCCTTATCAAACGTCAACTTAATGCAATCATCATCTTGTCTGATCTTTGCTCCAATCCCGTTGACTTTTGATACGATTCCCTAAATCCAACGTCTAAATTCTACGCTTCACACTCTGCACAACTAGTTATTTTTCTATCTAATCCCGCTAACCCACAATCAAGCACGTGGCGTGACACCATAAAATATCAGCCGAGACAAAGATCTACCATTTTGTAAGGATATTTATAGAAATCTCAAATCATGTATAGTGTTAAATATCAAATGACATCAAAATTGAATGTCAGTTTCTAATCGATAAAGCACAATTTTTTACGAATAGATTTACCGATTATCTCTTATACGCTTAACATATTAATAAGTTAAATTTTTTTAACTATTAAATATGTATATTTTTTTATTTTTACATAATTTTATATAAATTTTACGGATAAAAAAATTGATATTAATTAACGTATTAAAAAAAGTTTCAAATAATAATTCACTAACTATATCACTTAATAGAAACCCCAAAGGATTGACTGGTGCATCAAGAAGCATTAGTGCTGAAGTTAGATTTCATCGAGTACTATCAATTCTTCACTCTAGAGGTCCGATAAGGGATGCTTTACTTAGATCCCGTAGATTAATCGAAGGAATGCATGAATCTAATAGATTAGTTGAGACAAAGTCTCAAGAACCACGATAATTTTAAAAATAAAAAAATAAAAACATTACTTAGTAAAGAGAAAAAAAAAAGAGATCTCATCATTGTCCTTTTCCATATTGAAGTGGAAACTCCACACAACTCATGAGCTTAAAAATGAAAGGGTTAGGGGTTGTTCTTTTGTAACGAAATTCAGAAAAAAAAAATTGAACTCGTGTTACACTTTATTTAAGTTCATGTTCTTTTATAAAATTTGAGTTTGAACTTGAGTTTAGAGCTAAACTCGAGTTCAAGTTTTTCCTTCAACTTGAGTTTATAAACTCGAAGTTAAATTAATGAATAATATTTTTTCTATTCTTAAAAATATCATAACTTTTTTTGTTTTAATTTTGATTGAAATGATTTTTTATGCATTTACAACGAAAAGACGAATAAAACCACACCCCTATACCCTATTAAAATTTTTCACCACCATTGAGTTTTTATTAAAATACTATCTAAATACAAATTTAAATTTTGACCCACCCAAACACAAACTCAAAAAGATTCTCAATTCAAATCATAACTCAAATGTGCACATCCAAACACAAACTCAAGTTATAACTTCAACTCAAGTTATAACTCAAACTCAACTCAAGATCATTACTCAAGTCTCCTTAACTTAAAAATGTAAAAGAACAATTCCTTAATTTCACAAATAATTCATGAGGTTTTTCCTCAATTTTATTTTCATTTCTAACTTTTCAAACGTCTTATAATTAGTCTTTAAAGTTTCATATTGTTTCAGTTTTAATCATTCTTTTAATTTTTTGATCCAGAATATTAGTTGTTTTAAATTTTGATCCTTAATTTACATAAATTTCATCAAATTGTAATGCATAATTAATGTTATAGCCGAAACTGAAATAAAATAAAATATCAAGAAGCATTTGTGGACATTTGAAAAGTCAAGAACTAAAGTGAGATTAATTGTGAACTTCAAGGACCTTTTTCAAAATAATACAAAATGAACAAAAAAAAATATGAAAGGAAAAAAAAAAAGAGAGAAACTTGAGCAGCGGAAGAAGCAATGCAAAATTTGCAGCATCGTGGATAAAGATGAAAGCTAGCAACGTATTCATACAAGTAGACAAATAGCTATAGTCCTGAGAAAAGAATAAAAATTGAGTAACAAAATCTGAATTAAACTAGCAGAACACTGGCTATACTCATTATACACACCGCGGAGGAGACGTATCTTTTTAGGATATGGAACGGTCAATCAAGAGCTCCTCCTCCCGATTAAAAGTGAGCTTGTTCTAGGTATTAAAAATTTTACTAATTACACAATCAATGAGAGACCAAAAATTACAAAAAAAAGAAGGGTAGCAATGAAGAACCCCGACATGCCTACAAGAACCTCCGGCGTATTGAAACGGCCTTGTTTTTCGTCTTTTGGAGTTTCCATGCGCCTCGCGATTACATCGAACCTGTAAAAAGTTACCCAACTATGTTAGTAATTAGTAATTAGTGTGGGAACTATACAAGAGTGTTAGAAAATGGCTTGTTAAGTCATATTAAAGGCCCATTTTGAAAAAGGACCCAATTAGATTTTGGGACGGGTTTCGATGGATTTGCGTTTTCTGTCGCGAGGAGATTAAAATCGAGTATTCATACACTCAAAATAGATATTGGGTAAATGAGAAATTGATGGTCTAAGTATGTCACTTAGAATGGTTAATGTAGTTGAAAATTACAAAAATCCAACATTAGCTAAGAATGAAGCCTTGGTAGTGTTTATAAGTGATTGCACTTTAAAGCCTAGGTAAGCATGTATAACATATAGGCTCTCTCACGTGCAGGGGGGGTGTGAATCACGGTCCTGGCGGGTTTAGAGCCCAATGTGTGTGGACACAAATGTCAGACTGGAAAACCCTCTCTGTGCGAGCTTTGTTTTGCAATTTTCTTTTTTATTTTTTTATATTTTCCAACTGAAATTCGAAACTGCTGCATTAATGGATGATTAACTCTGCATTAGTGTAGGATTTCAGAAAACTGCAGCACTAACCAGCATTATTGCCTGGTTTATGGACATTTAACCTTCGAATGAAGACATACCTTGGAGCAGGTTCATTTGGGGTTGTAACCTCTGATTTAAACACCATTAATTTGAGAATAAATCTGGATTTATACACCATAATGTCATGGTGTAACACCCGGATTTTAGAGCATATATAAAGGCCATACTCCACATGAACAAACACAACAATTTTCATGTATTCTCTTCCCATCTCTCCCGAGCTTCTTCATGGTTTCGAGTTCTTTGTGCACTTTTCTTTTGTTGTGTGTTTTGGTGATAGAAGAAAGGTACAATTCTAGTTCGCTGAGATGGTTCCGAAAGTGCTTCGTGCTACCGACGTTGTCATTGTATCTTGAGAGACGGACGTCTAACGTTACCTCAAGCACACGCCGGAGAGGACGAATCTGTTTTAAGGAAAGCGTGGTTCACGTGCCTCGACATCCTTGCAATTTGTTTTCCGAGTTCGGTAGAAAGGTTGAATTAGTGTTGTACAATTTCGTTATTTTGATCTCGCAAAAGTTGTTGTTCTTCTTTGTATTATCCATATTTTTGCTAACAATCTTAAAACAGATTTAGATTTATACAAAGGAGGACTTTGCTGGAGGAAAGGAAAAAAACAAAAACAAAACAAAACGTTGTTTTTTTTGTTCGAGATTTTTGCCAATTTCCCTACTAACTTGGAAATTTTTATTTTGAAGAAATGGCTGATAACATGAACGTGGTTGTTTCTGCTGGAAGCAACACTATGACGACTGAGCCGTCACTTGTGGGACAAACGTCTGTCTCGATCCCAACCCCCGCTTTGACCTTGACGCGACCTTCACCGGTCTCGGTTCCTGTGAACCACAATGAAAAGCCTGATAAATTCAGTGAGATGAATTTTAAGACTTGGCAACAAAAAATATTGTTTTATCTGACAATGTTGAATCTTGCGAGATTCTTGAAAGAGGATCCTCCTACTATTAGAAAGGATGAAGTGGATGCTCCAACATTCCACGCGGTTGATGCATGGAACCATTCTGACTTTTTGTGTCAGAACTAAGTGCTTAACGGCTTGGCTGATGGGCTTTACAACGTGTATAGCTCAAAGAAAACAACTAAGGATTTATGGGAATCTTTGGACTAGAAATACAAGTCTGATGACGCAAGTGCTAAGAAGTTCTTAGTGGGCCAATTCCTGAATTACAAGGTGATGGACTCAAAGACTGTTATTAGTCAAGTATAAGAGCTCCAATCACGAGATACATGTTGAGGGAATGGCTATAAGTGAATCCTTTCAAGTAGCTGCGCAACTCCCTCCTGGAAGGAGTTCAAGAGCTATCTGATGCACAAAAGGAAAGAGATGACCGTTGAGCAATTGGTTGTCAGGCTTCGCATTGAAGAAGACAATAGGCACATTGAGAAGAAGTTCTCTAATGCAACCGCAAGCTTTGTTAAGGCTAATGTGGTGGAGCATGATAACTCTAAAGAGAAAGGAAAGCCAGAATCCAAGTTGGACCAATGAGAGGAATTGTCAAGAAGAAATTCCAAAAGAAGTGCTTCAATTGCAACAAGGTTGGGCACAAATCGACGGACTGTAGGCTGCCAAAACGAAACAAGAATAAGGAGGCCAATGTTGTGGATACCATTTTCAAAGAAGTGTCTGACATCATATTGTCTGCTGTGGTCTCTAAAGTGAACTTGGTCGACTCCAATCTAAAGGAGTGGTGGCTCGATACTGTTGCTACAAGACACATTTGCTGTGACCAGGCCGAGTTTGCTGATCTAGTTCCGTTAGAAACTGGAGATAAGCTTTTCATGGGCAATTCTGCACCTTCTGTAATCAAGGGCCAAGGAATGGTGTTCTTAAAGATTACCTCGAGCAAGGAAGTGAAGCTCCACAACGTGCTTTATGTGCCCGACATCCAGAAGAATCTCATATCAGGGACAATGCTGAGCATGCACGACTTCAAGATGGTATTTGAAGCCGATAAGATAAATTTTTCTAAGATGAGAATGTATGTAGGGAGAGGTTATGTAAAGAGTGGCATGTGGAAAATGAATGACATAGCTACAAAACCCAAGAAAATGAATAAAAAGAAAGAGTCTTTTGTTTATATGCTTGAGTCTTCTAACTTATGGCATGGTAGATTAGGACATGTTAATTATGATACTTTACGTAGATTAATTAACTTGGATCACATACCCGTATTTCATATTGATTCAAAACATAAATGTGAAACTTGTGTAGAGACAAAACTAACGAGGTCATCATTTCAAACGATATAAAGGAATACTGAGCCACTTGATCTAATACATAGTGATGTTTGTGACTTAAAGTTTGTTCAAACTAGAGGTGGTAATAAGTATTTTATCATTTCATTGATGATAGCACAAAATATTGCTATGTATATTTGCTTAAAAGTAAAGATGAAGCTATAGAGAAATTTTCTCTCTACAAGCAAGAAGTTGAAAACCAACTTAATAAAAAGATTAAGATGGTAAGAAGTGACCGAGTAGTGAATATGTCGAACCATTTAGTGTGCTTTATGCACAACATGAAATTATTTACGAGGTCACACCTCCATATTCTCCCCAATCGAATGGCATTACTGGACGGAAAAATCGTACCTTAAAGAATATAATGAATGCAATGTTAATAAGTTTTGGGTTGCCACAGAACATGTGGGGGGAAGCCATTTTATAGGCTAATTACCTTTTAAATAAGGTTCCGCGTAAGAAAGTCGATAAAACCCCCTATGAATTGTGAAAAGGAAGGAAACATTCCTACAAATACTTGAAAGTGTGGGGGTGTTTGGCCAAGGTAATGACTCCAACACCAAAGAAAATGAAGATAGGTCCGAAAACGGTTGATTGCATCTTCATTAGGTATGCTCATAATATTACCGCTTATCGGTTCCTTGTGCACGATTCTAAAAACCTTGACATACACAAGAACACGATAATAGAGTCTAGGAATGCATCATTTTTTGAACATGTATTTTCATGTAAGACTAAGAAAGATGAGTCAAGTTCATCAAAATGAATTTTTGAGACTATCATAGAAGATTGTAGTCAAAATTCTGAAAATGATGAAAATGTAGAAACGGAGGAAAAGCCTAGACGAAGCAAGAGGGCAAGAATAGAAAAGTCTTTCGGACCGAATTTTCTAACCTATATGCTAGAAGCTGAACCTCAAACGTATAAAGAAGCTGTGACCTTAACTGATGGTCCTTTATGGAAAGAAGCCCTAAAGAGTGAGATATATTCTATCTTACAAATCATACTTGGGAACTAGCAGACCTTCCGCTAGGAAATAAACTACTAGGTTCTCAATGAATTTTTAAATGAAAAATGAAGACAGATGGAACAATTGACAAGTATAAGGCCAGACTACTAATAAGAGGTTATAGACAACGAGAAAGCCTTGATTACTTTGACACGTATTCTCCTGTGACGAGAATAACATCTATAAGGATGATACTAGCGATTGCTGCGCTGCAGAATATTGAAGTTCATCAAATGAATGTGAAGACAGCCTTTGTAAATGGAGATTTGGAAGAAGAAATTGTTAGGTATAGGTGCTTTTCTTCTAGTATTTAAGGCTCCTTATTTTGGGGACTAAAATCCCCCTTTGGTGGAGAGAGGTGGATTGTTAGTGTGGACGATTTGGACTTTCTACACCAAAAATATTCTCTTAAACGAGGGTAATCAATTTAATTGATTGAAATTTTTATCATTATTTGAATAAAATTTTATAGTAAGACCACATTGCATTTTATCATCATACGAGAGAGATAAATCCAGATTTGTATTAAACCATCAATGATTAAAAAAATAGATAAATAAAAAATACAATTTTTTTTTAATGAAATAGTGGATAACCATGGAACAACCTGATGGTTGTGTAGCTCCAGGACAAGAGAAGAAAGTCTGCAAATTGGTGAAGTCTTTGTACGGACTGAAACAAGTACCAAAACAATGGCATAAGAAATTTGACGATATCATGATGTCAAATGGATTTAAAATCAACGAGTGTGACAAATGTGTTTATGTCAAGAATACAAAAGACGCTTATGTCATTCTTTGTATGTATGTAGACGACATAATAATTGTAGGTAACAGTGATCGGATGGTCAAATCTACCAAACACATGTTGAACTCAAGGTTTGACATGAAAGATATGAGACCGGCTAATGTGATTTTGGGGATCAAAATTAAAAGGGTGCCTGGTGGTCTCATATTGACCCAGTCACATTACGTGGACAAGATACTTGACAAGTTTAACAAAGATGATTCTGGTATAGCCAGAACTTCTATATATATAAGTCAACATTTGTCCAAAAATAAATGAGAAAACATATCCCAAGTGGAGCATGTTAGAGTGATTGGCAGTCTGATGTACTTAATGAGCTGTACAGGACCAGATATTGTCTTCACTGTAAGTAGGTTGAACAGATTCACGAGTAACCCAAGAGATGACCACTGGAAAGCAATTGTAAGAGTACTGAGGTACTTAAGATATACTCGTGAATATGGACTACATTACTGTCATGACCGAAAAATTTATCAGAATTATTATATAGGATAATATTCTCTAGAATCCTTTGTATCATTAATATAAATACTTTTATGATAAGTATTTGTTGATATAAGTATAGAATAACAAGTTATAAGCTTAAGTTCATAAATTTCTGAACTACGACGCAGTTACCGATTTTCAGACTGTATTTAAGAAAGAAGTATGGAATGTTGTGTTAAGTCCACAAGTGGGTAAAAACATGAATGATAAGTTTAAAAAATGGAAAAGAATTGAAAGACATCAATTCTAGGGTTTTAGAAACAGTCAGAACGAAAAACAGACGAAAAAGGGGTTCGGAAGGCCGAACTAGGGGTGTAAATCGGCCGGGTAGGGTCGGGTTGAGCCGAAAAATTGAGCCGACCCGATCAGTGCGGGTTGAGAAAACTTTGAGCTGCGACACTCTCTTAAGTCTACAAACCCGCAACCTTTCGGGTGACCTCGAGTAGGGTCAGGTTACTCAGGTTGGTGAAAATTAATTTTAATCTATGACTTCATACCTCTTTTAATAGTTTAAAAGTATAAACAACAAGGAGATGAAATAAAATCTTGAAGCTACAATATAATGGTTTCTTTATACATTCAATCTCAAATTATCACATGGATGCAACTCGAACTGAAAAGGTCAACTCCGTTTTCTAGCACTAAAATTTTTTTCTAAACGAAGCTGAGTTTTGATCCAATTTGAGCTCATGCATAACAAATTGTTTGAACCAACCACAAACGAGAAAATCGTTTGCACGAAAATGAAGATTAAAAAAATAATAGTACCTTGCAAATGCTGACGAATGACAAATAGCATTACATAAGATAGTAAGGTCGGGTAATAAGAAGACAAGAAATATAAACATCACTGATCTTAAATCTGTTCATTTAAACTACCTGTGCTTCCATAGTGCTGGCACCTAGATGAGGAGTTGCTGTGACTTTCTCATGCAGTACAAGCTTTCTGTCTTTAGCTGGTGGCTTCTCCGTAAAAACATCAAGGGCAGCCTACAGTGGAAGAAAGAAAAGGATTATGTTATTTACTTTCCTCAGCAAAAGCGTGTACACTCTTCTGATTGAGAACACACACACCTGTGCAACAATTCCAGCGTCCAGCGCCTTCACTAGGGCGTCTTCATCGATGACTCCTCCACGAGCAACATTAACAATGCGGACTCCTTTCTTCATGCAAAAGTTTCATCGTTGAGAATCTTTGATGTGGCAGGCGTGAGAGGCATGTGCAATGAGATGAAATCCGCTTTGGATAAGGCTTCATCAAAGCTCACAAGTTCCACAGCAATTGCACGGGCACGATCGGCTGGGGCATATGGATCGTGTGCAATAACATGCATACCGAGTCCCTTGGCTCTCCGGGCAACTTCAATGCCAACTTTTCCAAAACCCATAACCGCAAGTGTTTTCCCCACAAGCGATACACCAACATACTTGTTCCTCTGCCACTTGCCTGGATCGACCAAATAAAGAATCTAAATCAGTAAGTTGTTGAGATAGGCACGGTACAACAGAAAAAATGTTGCATCTCAATCAGTTGATAATCTTCAGGCGTGCAAATCACAAAAATTGGTCGGCTTCTCCATCTTGAATATCAAAGGCAGGGAAAATGGAACTGATCTTTGAAATGGAGAGAAACCAAAAAATTTCTGACCCCATTTCTTGCCTATTGTATTTAGACAATCTACTGTAACCAAAAGCCAAACAAATCTGAACAAACTCTAATTTTTTTAGACAAGCAAAAAAAATACTTTTAATGATTTTTTTAATGCACCTTTCATGCTCTCCAAAGTCAAAACAGAATCTTTTGCATTTTCGAGAAATCTTTCCGTCACATTACAGCATCGAAAACATGAAAGCTGTTTCGCTATCCTAGGGACACTAACCAAACTCTACTACTGAAAAATATCAAACGAAATTCCCAAAACAAACAGCATCTTGCGCCGCATACAAACTGCTCGACGAAATGCTCTAAAGAAAATAAAGTTCAAGATATTGAAATAAAAACGAAAACTAACAAAAAAGACAAGGAAAAGAAAAAAAGAAGAAGAAAAACTCACTGACCGGCTTTAACGGAGGCGTCAGCTTAGCGGCCAAGAGAGCGATCCCGTGCTCGGCGGTGGCGACAGTATTAGCAGTCGGCGCATTCACGACCAACCAGCCATGCTTGGTGGCGGCGGCCAGATCCACATTGTCAATACCCACGCCGGCCCTACCGACGACCTTCAACCTGCCTCCGAAGGATTCAAACAACTCACGGCTGACCTTGGTCCCGCTGCGGACGATGAGGGCGTCGCAGAGCGAGATCTTGGTGCAGAGCTCCTCGGGGGAGAGGTTGTAGGAGCAAGGAAAACATATTGCGGGACGGGTTAGTCTGGGACTGGGTGGGTGGGAGGAAGGAAAACAAAAAATTGGAACTTTAGGTTACTTACACAGGCGGGTCGGGGCAACTTGGGTGAAAAGTTGCCCGGCCCGCGGCCCAACCCGCAATTTGCGGGTTGGGCCTATTTAAATCCGAATTTTTTTTAAAAAAATATAATTCTATATTTTCAGCTCGGATCGGGTCGGGTCGGACAGGTTAGTCGGGTTCGGGTTCAATTCTTACACCCCTAAGCCGAACCGAGAAAATTAGGGTCTCGACTGATTTGAGTTGACCGACTCAAAATTTGTTGACCAATAGTCGACCAAAACGTCGCCCTCGAAAAGTTAGTCAAGAGTGGTCAAGGTTGACTAAGTTGACCATCTGTCCGAACAACGCGTATAAAACGCGTACCGGATAGGAATTAAATTGAACCAAAATAGGATAATTATAAGATTATCAATGGTTGAGATTAAAAGTGAAAAATGGGAGAATGGCTGAGATTATGCCATGTGGCATGAGTGGTGGCCGGGCAAGACTTAATGGAGAAGAAAATGGGAGATATTTATGGAATATGTTGGGAATTTTGTAAAAAGTCCATAGAAAAGTCAAGATTTCATTTTTTAGACTTTTGCTTTAGGGGTGGTCGGTTCACCAAAGGGATAAAACATGAGAAATGTTATTTCTCATGCTCAGAACAGAGGGAACTCAGCCAAAGAGAAAGGAAGATAAAAAAATTCATCCAAAGTGAGAAAAGTGAGTTTTGATCGAAATTGACGGAACGACACCGCTAGTTCGCGTCACCGAAGCTTGTTCTTCATTTTCTAAGGTGAGAATTCAAATTTTTCTTGTTATTTTCCTACCATGGATGCACGTGGAATAAGGGTCAAAAGCATGCAAAAATTTTACTTAAGATGATGATTAGCTTGTGATGATTAAGGACTCGAAAATCTACTGGATTAAGGATGAAATTCTTGATTATTTGACTTTGTTCTAGCCTATTTGGCCATGAAAAATTTTGTGAGAACTTGGGTGAAACCCTAGGAATTGTGATATTATTGATGATAAAATGGAGTGACAAAGTATGTGATTTATGTTTGGTGGTGGAAACAATGGATAAAATGAGCTAAGGTTAGCTCGGGAAACATGAAGAAATAGGCGGAACTCTGCCGAAATTTAGTTTGAGCTTTTTAACTAAAACTGGATTTCAAGAGATTTAAGTGTGAAAAGTAAGGTGATTCGATAATCGGTGATGTATAGAAACTGAACACAATAAGAATTCACAGTTTTGGACCGAAACTGAAAATTGTAGACCTTTCCGAATTAAATTTTAAATGTATTATTGATCTTAGATTTTGAATCTAATGATAAAAATTTATGCAATAGGATCAATTAACGGTTGAAGTCGGAAAGCGCCAAGTGAGACAAAGGACGCATTGTTAGCGAAACCTTTATAAGTACAATAGTTTTTCTATGGCTATTTCACGAACAAGCTTACTTTTCTATGTTGCACAAAAGTGTGCATATGGTAGAATTTTGAATGTTAGATACAATGTTAAGCATGTATCTACAAGACTTAAGTAGTCGTAGAACTTTATTATGCGAAAAGTATGTAACAATGTTAAGTCAAGGTCAAGTTACGAGAAAGAGTTAAACTTTAACAAAAAGTTAAACTCATGATGAATTGCTCAAAAATGCACAAATTCATAAGATTTAACTAAAATTACCGTTTCAATGAGAAAATTGATAAACGGTAAGAGACTAAACGTCTTGTTTGTACCAGCCTTCGAAGGAAAGGTTATTATGAGACTATGAAAGAAATGAAACCGTGATTGAGCTGGATTGGTTAGCTACCCCACTCCTCACTGGTTATGCGCGCTATGGTACAACAAGACAGGGCGTATAAGAAGTAAAAAACAAGAAAATGAAAAACAGAAACCATTCCATATAAAGGTACGGTATCTGTAAAGAAGAATGAAAAGAATGAGAAACACAGAATGAAAGTCGTTCAGAATGTGAAAAAAAACAACATGAGTGACTAAAACGAGACGAAAGTAGAACAAAGTATGTAATGAAAGAAGAAGAACAAAGCCATACATGTTTTAGTAGTACAAAACGTATCAGGATATATGAAATGAATGCATATATGGGTATGCATAATTATTGCATCTGTTATGACCTATTGATACTTGCTGAGCGAAAGCTCATTAAGTTTGTTCGTTTTGTAGGAAGCTCGGGTAAGACACCAGCTCCCTGAAACTTGTTGATAGGCATGTAGGGAGGATGTAGCAGCGGAGTGTGGGCAAGTGGGTTGTGGATGCATCACGTGTTTTGGAAACGCTGTTGAGCTTTATGTGTAAAAAGTAAATAGTGTTTTATGAATATGGATGACTTATGTAAAGAAGCTTAGTTCACGAGACAATGAGGCTATGCATAGCAACCTCTAGTCAAAGGTATGATTAATGTAGCGGTATGCTACATCATTTCACAAATAGTGAAAACCGAATGCTACAGTAATTCACAAATAGTGAAAACAGATTGCTACAACAATTCACGAATAGTTGAAAACAGATTGCTATAGCAATTCACGAATAGTTGAAAACAGATTGCTACAACAATTTACGAATAGTTGAAAACAGATTGCTACAGCATTTAGACGTACATGGTAAAAGAAAAATAGCCTGGATTTTTACGAGGTTATAACTAGTGAGTAGTAGAGGTTAGGAAATGTTAAGTATGAATATAGGATGATGATCAAAAGTTAGGGTCGTCACAGTTGGTATCAGAGTGACGATTCTGCCACCCACCCACATTCTGCTGAGCATCTGACTCTACATGTCCAAGTAAGTTATTATTTCTTTTGAATTTAAAATTCAGTGTGTGAATTTTGACCTTATAGGATATACGATATGGTTCGAACAAGACAAACTCAAACGGTACCATGAGGGTTGCACAGAAGAAGTATCTGAGGTCGTGAAAGGGGAAGACGTCCCCATAGGCTACCTCCGATACAAGAAGCGGAACCTGTTCCTTTAGAGGTATCTCTGCAGCCCCTACAACCTAATAGAATAGCTGAGCCACCTCCAATTGATAAGGAAGTGCAAGTAGCTATGATTAGAGGCCCAATAGGGTCTAAGGTCCCGCAAGAGCTGCTTTTGCACTTTATCAGTGTAATCCACCTATATATGATGGTCAGGCTCACCCAACCAAATTACAAGATTGGCTACACCGAATTGAATATTTGATGGAAGCCTGTGATATCGATGAGAGTGATTGGGTAATTCTAGCCGCTGGCCTATTAGAGTCCGACGCTAGACAATTTTGGAGAGGTGTGGTGGAAACAAGAAATGCACATGAGGTGTTATGGGGCAATTTTTGTAGTTTACTGCTAGCTCAATTTCCACCAAGAGATGCACCTGTAAGGATAGCACCAGAGGTTGCCTCTACCTCACAGGCTCAACCATATATTGGGGAGACCGAATTTAAGAGAATGGAGAAGTATATACATAAGGTCGATAAATTTAAGATGCGACCTTATGACACTGGCAATCTACGTTGAACGGTTCTTTAGTGAGATTATGACTGATCACACTATCGAGTTAAAGGAACATGATGCGTGTTTCATATTTTGGAGGGGGTTAACGGAAGAGTTACGAACTATAGTATTTCCACGATAGGAAGTTACATATACCCTAAACCAGTTTTTAGAGGAAGTAACGCAATTAGAAGAAACCTTGGCTATAGAACGAGAGGAACAAGAATGGCGCGTTAGTGAGCGTCGAATAGAGTTTGAACGTAGGCAGAGAGAATACCTACGTAGAAACAGATCAGTGGAGGTGTATTCTGGAATCAAAGTTGGAACAACATCAACACCCCAACAACAGGAGGGACAAGCAAATGTGGATCCCCAAAACACTGTAAATACAAGTGAGGAAGAAGACCCGGAGGAGGATTTTGGGGAGGCCAATGAGAATTGTGCAGATGTATAGTATGATGTAACGTTTTGATGATGATGTTACATTGTAGCAATGTAAAAACGTACTATGGATGTATAAGATAATCACACTTGTCTTATGTAAGTAATGAACGATGAATGTATATGTATGTTTGAGCAGATATGTGTATGTATGTGTATACAGGTGTACAAATGAATCAAATACAGGGAAAAAGATGCGGTTACCTAAGGAATGCATTTTTTTAAAATGATAAGTGTGGTTAAAATTGCTACGAGAATGCTACCACATTTAATAAAAGTTGTATTATTTTAAAATAACTTTATGTTATGAAATGATGCTAAGATTTATTTAGATTCATACATACACACATATCCGGAAAGTTAACCATGTTTACCATTATTCCTCTTATGTAGCCACACGGAAACATGGTTCGCCCACGTAGAGAACACTTGGTTCAAGAACTATGAGGGGATTTAGCTGCCACCATAGCTAACTTACGAGCTAGACTGGAGGCTCAAGAGCACGAAAATAGAAATTTACGGGCACAGTTAGAGTAAAGAGACCAGGAACAGGAGCGAAAAAGAGCGCCACCTATTCAACCGGCACCTCAACCAGAGCCTGCGGCGATGCCAGAAATGGTGCCATAGGCTAGGCCTGTCGTTAATCAGGGACCCTTATATGTGCGGTTTCGTAGGATGAAGAAACCAGAATTTGAAGGTTCCACTGACCCACTAGAAGCTGAGGAGTGGTTAACTTCACTCCAAACAATTTTGGATTTCATGAATCTAACGGAGCAAGAAAAAGTTCTTTGTGCTTCGTATGTATGAAAGAAAGATGCCCGCTACTGGTGGGAGACAGTAGTAATGAGAAGAAATGTGGCAACAATGACATGGAATGAATTCTTAGGGAAATTCAATGCTAAGTACTATGATACTGTAGGTTTCCGAGCTCAACAAAATGAATTCAATAATTTAAAGTAAGGTGATATGATTGTTATGGAGGCTTGTCGTAAGTTTGATCGATTGGCAAGGCTATGCCCACAGCTAGTGCCAACAGAAATGGAAAGGGTGCGACGGATGTTAGTGATGTTTCATCCCGAAATAGCTACAGTGGTAGACAGTGGGAAAAGACCACCCACAACAATGGCGCATTGTGTTGGTAGAGCAGTCCGAGCAGAATATCACCTGGCCTAAGCTAAGGAGGAAATAGCCAACTTCTGGGAAGCCACGAAAAAGGATCAAGCCCATGCAAAACAAACCCAAAAGGGGAATCAAAAGAATAATCAAGTTGGTCAAAGTAACCAAGCTAACAAGACGGGACAAGGAAATCGACCCCCACAGAGTCATCCACAGAATAACCAGAACCCGAATAAGAAGAAGAGAAATTTTGATGGAAATCGAAACTTTAATTCCCAAAATCCGCAACAGAAGCAAGAACGCAACACGAATATAGTGGAGTGTTCTAAGTGCGGAAAGAAACATTCGGGTGTATGCCATTATGGAACAAACAGTTGCTATACATGTGGCAAAGAGGGCCATTATTCCTGGAACTATCCTCAGAATTTAAATAGACAACCTACTAGCCAGGCAAATGCGATGCAGATAAGAGTTAAGGAAATGTAACCTCAACAAGATAGGGTAGAAGCCCCGTCGCAAACCAATGCTAGGTTGCTGGCATACACGAGAAGTGATGCAGAAGCTGGCACGTCAAGAGTCATGATAGTTCAGCTTACTATTGCTTAGCACTCAGCATACACATTATTTGATTCCAGTGCATCACATTCGTTTGCATCATATGGATTTGCTGAGAAGTTAAAATATGCTAAGAATAGAATTGGTCAGACATTTAGGACCACCCTGCCTTCTGGGGAAATTCTATTGTCTGAATTTAAGCTAGAGTATGTGCTGATAGTTATAGCTAATAAGGAGCTATACACAGATCTAGTCGTATTAAGTGCCGATAGTTATAGCTAATAAGGAGCTATACACAGATCTAGTCGTATTAAAGATAATCAACTGCGACATCATCCTAGGAATGGATTTCTTAGGAAAATATCAAGCTACTATCGATTGTCATAATAGAAAGGTGATTTTCTGACTCGATGGGGAAGAAACTTTTGAGTACGTTGATCGCTCTAAGCATACCCCTAGACGAGTAATTAATGCAATGGAGGCAAGGAAACTACTTACTAGTGGTTGCGAAGGATATTTAGTACATATTGTGAACACGACTAAAACTGATAAGTTGCAACCAAAAGATGTGCTGATAGTTCAAGAGTTTCTAGAAATCTTTCCGAAAAAATTACCAGGACTGCCACCAGAACGTGAGATTTCATTTGAAATCGAACTTTTACCTGGAACGGCACCGATTTCTAAGGCTCCTTATAGAATGGTTCCGATAGAACTTAAGGAGTTAAAAATGCAACTGCAGGAATTAATGGACAAAGGATTTATCCAACGAAGTTATTCACCTTGGGGAGCCCCTGTACTGTTTGTAAAGAAGAAAGATGGCACATTGAGAATGTTTATTAACTATCGTGCGCTCAATAAGGTCACAATAAAGAATAAATATCATCTGCCCAGGATCGATGACTTATTCGACCAACTCAAAGGGGTGGCAATATTCTCAAAGATTGATTTGCGATCTGGATACCACCAATTGATGATTAAGGAACAAGATATACCAAAGACGGCTTTCAGAATGCGTTATGGACATTACGAGTTTCTAGTAATGCCGTTTGGACTAACTAATGCCCCATCAGCTTTTATGGATTTGATGAATCGTGTTTTCAAGGAATACTTAGATAAATTTGTTATCATTTTTATCGACGACATACTAATTTATTCAAAAAATCATAAGGAACATGAAGAGCACTTGAGAATTACCCTTCAAACGCTGAAAAGACATCAGTTATATGCTAAATTCTCTAAGTGTGAATTTTGACTCAATGAAGTTCAATTCTTGGGGCATGTAGTTTCGAAAGATGGAATCTCGGTGGATCCAGCAAAGATTGAAGCTGTTATTAACTGGCCCGCACCAAGAAACGTAACAGAGATTCGTAGTTTCTTAGGTTTGGCCGGATATTACAGGAGATTTGTAGAGGGTTTTGCAAAACTAGTTGCACCACTCACTACCCTCACGCGAAAAGAAAAGAAGTATGAATGGACGGAGAAGTGTGAGGAGAGATTTCTAGAATTGAAACGAAAGCTAACTACTGCACCAATCCTTACAATCCCAAAGGATGGAGAAAACTTTGACGTATACAGTGATGCTTCCAAACTAGGGCTGGGAGCGGTACTGATGCAAAATGGAAAGGTAATTGCGTATGCGTCTAGACAATTGAAAACACATGAGAGAAACTATCCTACTCATGATCTTGAATTAGGAGCAGTAGTTTTTTATTTAAAGATATGGATGCATTATTTATATGGTGCACAATGTCAGATTTTCACTGATCATAAGAGTCTAAAGTATTTCTTCACTCAGAAAGAACTTAATATGAGGCAACGCAAATGGTTGGAGTTAGTAAAGGATTATGATTGTGAAATCCTTTATCACCCTGGAAAAGCCAATAGGGTAGCTGATGCTTTAAGTCGTAAGACTACTGAATTAAGTTATATGTTATTGGATAGATTTCCAACACCGTTACAAAATGATATTCATTCATTAGGGTTGGAGCTAATTACAGGCAAATTAGCCACTCTACAAATACAACCATCTATTTTTGACGAGATGGCAGAAGCACAACGTTAAGATTTTACTCTTGACAAGTATTGGAAAGAAGCTGAGGAAGGAAAAGAGTCGGAATTCAAAGTCTCTGATAAGGGAATACTCACATTTCAAGGAAGAATTTGTGTTCCAAAAGATGAAAATCTTAAGAGTCAAATTCTTTCTGAAGCTCATAATACCCCTTATTCGATGCATCCAGGAGCGACTAAGATGTATCAAGATCTAAAACAACACTTTTGGTGGAGATACATGAAAAATGACATCGTGGACTACATTAGTCGTTGTTTAACATGTCAAAAGGTTAAAGCAGA